GGACCACAGGCACGTCGTCGTGGGGCTGCCTAAGCACGGAACCTCACATTCAAGCAAGTTGGGGCATCAGGGGGTGCTAAGTGACTCCCATTCCACTCCCCTGGGGGAATGAATTCAATCACAAATCAGTCACTCAGAACACGTTTCTGAAGCCTGCAGGGCCCTGTGCTACACATGGTAGTGGGGTGGTGAGCGCCTGCGGGGTTGGGTAGAGGGAATGAGGAAGAGTCACCCTGGCAGGTGACGTGCCCACAACCAGCCAGGTGCCCCAAGTCTGAGAGGCACAGGGAGGCCACAGGCCTAGGGGCACAGGGACTATGAATGTCCCCTTCCATGAGCCAACCAGCTGAGATCTGGGGTCCTGGCTCTCTGAGCAACCTGCATTCCACCAGTAAAGAATCTTGCACACGGGCGTTCCCAAAGCTCCTGGAGACGTCCTAAACCCCATCCACTACTCACAAACACCAGGGCACAGGCTACCTAGGCTCACTGTCCCCACTACCAGACCACAACTGCTAGCTAGGAAAGGAGAACCCTTTGGGGGACCAGAGATAGGACCGTTCCTCTCCACTGCTGTCCAGCTCTGTCCACCCTGCGTGACTCACAGTTCCAGACCAGATGCACCCACCCCAGGGCCTGGACAGAGAAGAGACAAATGCACCCCTCTGCCAGGGGACCTCATCTAAGCTATGCCTGGTTTCCTGCATGCCGCTCCAAATGCCCAGGACCACAGGCAGTGACGACTGCAATGGTCGGTAGGGCTGCGCCTAGAACTCCACCACAAGAAGCAGAAAGTGAAACCTTCTGTGGTTAAGTGTCTGAGGCCGAGCACTTCCTCCAGTCTCACCACAGCGACCGGCACAGCTCTGCACACACAGAACCTCGCCCGGAAGCATGGTTTTCTGTGCAAATGAAGTTCAGCGCCGGTGCCAGCCCCAGCCCCAGAGCTTGGTGACACACCTGATGAGGCTATGCTCTTTACTAGCCGTTATTTGTGGGGAGTTGTTCCAGGGGCTCGGACCTGCAGACCCCTTGGGAAGGGGGCAGAGCTTCATCCAGGCACTGGGCATCCTCCTGGGACTCACAGGGAAACAGAGAGCTGGGTCCAACGGCAGTCTGGGCTCCTGAGGCACTTCCAGGGACTGCACCAGGGAAAGCAGACCCTTTTAGCCAAAAACATTTTAATTTTAATTTAAAGTACATTAAGACTTCTGGGGTGGGTTGAGGTCCTTCCACAGCCCCAGGGGAATCAAGGGGTGAATGAGAAGCCACCCAAGGGTGCTCTCTGCTCTCTTGGTGTGCAGGGGATGCGGCCAAGCCTCTCTGCCAGAAGCCAGTGGCCACACGCCACTCTGCACCTCAGAGCACTGGGAGGCGCGCCCTTCCCGCCGGAGCCACCACACCCCAGGCCAGATTCCAAGCCTTTTCACCGCCCTGTGGGGCCCAGAGCTGGCCGACAGGAAGCCTGCAGAACTGACCGCCCTGCTTTATTTAGAAATCCCTGGAGCCACGGGGCTCAGCCTGGTCAGGACGCTGGGCCTCTGAGCCTCTGGAATGGGCTCCCATGGAAGGCCTTGAGTTTCAAATCGGAAACCTGCCTAGAGAAACAGACAAGGGACCACCCCCCCCCCCCCACTGGTTTGCTACCAAATGACAGAAACACCGTGGCAAAGGTCCCAACTGGGCCTTGGGGTTCCGGTCCACAGAATGGGAGAGCGATGCACGCTTTTGGGACCTGCAGCACAGACATACTGGCCATCCCACGACTGAACACAGACGTAACATTAACAAGGACACAGCCTGGAACACCAGAGCTATGACAATAAAGACTTGCATCCATGCATTCACATGTGCACAGAGTGTTGAGTGCACACATACACACACACACACACACACAAAACTCTGGACCCCACAAACAAAAATTCGCACTTTTTAAGCACTCACAAAACATCTGACAAAATGATGTACACGGATGTTACACCAGTGCTGCCACACACACTTCATACTGTGTACTACCAGGGCACAGCGGCTCTCAAACAGAGGTGGCCCCACCCCCGGGGCACACCGGGCCATGTCTGGGAATATCTGTGGTTGTCAAATTGGGGGTGCTCCTGGCATCAAGTGGGTGGAGCCAGGGACACTGCTCAACTCCCCCCAGTGCCCAGAATGGCCTCCCACAGAGGCTGGGTTGGCTCCAGTGTCCCCAGTGCCGAGGAGGAGACCCCGCTGTATGGAAAAGAGATGCTTCTTTGAGGAGTTGAAAGTCAACTTTAAAAAGGAACCACAGAGGGAGCACTGGAGACAGAGCCCGTGAGGTTCCCCCAGTCTGAGGGCCAGAGTACAGCTCCAGGCACTCCACAGTCCCTCCTGGTCTCTCTCGTCACCAGGATGGGACATCAAAACCCCCACCAGGCAGAGAGGCCCTACAGGTTACATGCATACAGGCCCAGGGAGACATGAGACCAACATGGTGAAGTGGGCAAGGGCTCCTCCAGTGCTGGCGACTTGCTCTACTGGTCCCAAACCAAAGTACCAAGGCAGACACCCCCAGAACATCACGGAAACAAGTCCCCCTCGGCCCAGCTGCAGCTGGAAAGCTCAGTCTGCCCCTCAATTTTCTCCCTGCAAAATGAGGACAGTCTTTGGCCAGTGGCTGGCTTGCTGGAGAGGAGAGGGTGGAATGAATCCTACGAGCAGGTTGGGCACTGGGCAGAGGGTACTCAGTAAGGATGCCCTCCCTGCATCCTCACACCCTGCCCTGTCCTCTGGTCATCAAAGTCCCCCCAGCAAGGAGCCCTCAATCTGGGAGGATCGGTAAGTGTCCCCAGGGTTCCCAAAGAGGTCCCTGGTCCAAAGCCTGTGGGATCACTGATAAGGAGCACCTCAGGGTCAGCCCCCACCCCCACACATCCCCAGACCTCCCCCTGGCACTGACGGCTATCTTCACGTCAGAGCCCTTCACCATGGACCTGTGCGCCCACGTCACCCTCACTGCCTTATCTGCCCCCCATGCCTAGGCTGTAACCTCAAGAGACAAGCGCCTGATCCCGCATTGTGCAGGCTGGCAGCAGTGGGCTGGGGCCCCTCTAGGGTTGCACAGGAGAGGAAGAATGGAACTGCAGACACAGGTGCCCCTGCAGCTGACGCCCCACACCCTTGGGCAGGCACTGGACACTTCCAGATCAGCTGCAGGGCTCCTGGGGGGCCTCCAGGCCCAGGGAGAATGCAGAGGCACACCGAGGCTGCAGAAGCACAGGCTGCTGACTTTTTTGGTCTTGACCCACACATCAATCTTGAAGCCTAGACACGCTCGGAACAGGCTGCAGGGGCACCTGGAGGCTCACACGGCCCCTGATCAAGGCCGGCTGATGGCATTAAGACACCTTTAATTTCTAACCTCCTTCTAAGATAAACTCTATTGCCCATTGCAAAAGCCACCTATCACAAGGTCCTCCTAAGTGCCACTCAAATACCATTGCAAGTTTCCTCCAAACTTTAAGGTTACTCTCTATCCGTCCCTTCTGCAAAGGTGGCCTTTTCGTGGTCTTTAGGTAAATCAAAATATATATTTGGAAAACAAAATAGGGAAGGTATTTAATCAAAAGGAGGATCCTGCAGGTTGGAGAAACAATGCACTTCAGCCAAGTCCTGCTGCCTCCCAAAGGGCCACCAATGCCACTCTCCACTATCAGGAGTTCCACAAGGCCTCTAAACCCTCCCCCCTCCTCCTGCCCCATATCCATCAAAGCTACCTCTGAGCAGCTTGCAAGCATTTCCAACTTTCCCTGCAATCCAGGAATAAAAATGAGGCAGGGCTCATAAAGGGCAGGGCCCCAGGTTTCTGTTTTGTAAATGACCTTCTTGCCTTTGACGGCAGAGGTAAGTCCTTCAACAGCCCTTATTTGGGGTGACAACACTTTGCTGACAGCTGGGCCAACTCACTCCCTGCAACAGGTATGCCCTGGGGAGACAGGGATTCCAACAGGAATCTCCCCCAGAGGAGGATGAGGAGGAGGAAGACGACCCAAGAGAATCAGTTCCCACAAAGGCAGAAGGAAAAGATTTCAGAAAGGTTGGTAAGTTGGCCAGTTTCCGAAAACCTGCAAAGGCATAGGGCCCCACCCGCTTCCAGCCTCCAGCTAAAACAGAAATCTCCAGAAAAGAAGAAAATCTGTCTTTCCGTAAGGCGTGTTCCCTTTTCAGGAGAGCAAAAGTTTTCCCCGCAATGGAGGCTGGGGGGCGGGGGGCGTCAGGGAGCTCTTAGGAGACACAGAAACAGCTTGAGGGAATTGGGGGGCGGGCGGGGGGGCGGGGAGATAGGCCCTGAGTGCCGGGAACAGGGCTCCACCTGGTGGGAAGAGCAGAGATGGGATTATGGGAGGTGAGGGGCGCGTCTGAGGATTAGAACCCAGAGATCAGGGCCTGAACAAGTACTGGGGGAAACGAGGGGGGATACTCAGTGGAGCAGTGGAGTAGAAACAGAGGCAGGGCCAGACCTACGCAGGGAGGGGGCTCATTTCGCGAGAAGGGGCAGAAGGCAGACCTCCCCGGGTTTTGGGGGCCCGACCTGAACAAGAGGTAGGGCTGACCCATCAGGGTTCAGGGACCTCCCAGGACGGCACAGGCTGAACCTGAGGATCCGGGATACGGATGTGGACAGCAGAGGCAGGGCCTTACCCCTAGGGTTTCAGAAACTCGACATGGACAGTAGCGACAAGGGTTGGCTCTGAAGAAACCTGAGATCTCATGTGCACAGTACCGGCAGGGGCTGACCCCACAGTGGACAGTGCTGGCGAGGACAGATCTCGAAAACCGTGGTCCCCGCCATGCACAACACAGGCGGGGCCTACCCGAAGGCCCAGACCCCCGCCATGGACAGCACCCACAGGGGCTGACCCAGACGCCCCTGTCTCCGGCGTGGACAGCACGGGCAGTGTCGGCCCCGCCCGACAGCACACGCACCGTCGGCCGCGGACCCCAGCAGGCCCGGCCCAACTCACCGAGCAGCAGCAGCTTCAGCTCGCGCCGGGCGTCGCGCTTATCCCGCCGCAGCTGCTTCTCGATCTCGGCGTTGATCCGCTTGGACTCCTTCACCTCATCGCTGAGGCAACACGCCATCATGGACTCCAGAGTCATCGTCCCGGCCCCGGCCGCCCGCCGGCCGCCCCCGCCGCTGACCCCCGGCCCGGCCCTCGCCTGGAGCCGCCCTGTCCGCGCCCGCCTGGCCCTCGGCGATGGCCCCCGGGGCGGCGGGTCCACACGGCTGTCTGCGAACGCTGGTCCCGCTCGGCCGCGCACTCCAGCCCAGCCACCCTGCGTCCGCGCCACCGCCGCTACCGCCGCCTCCAACCGCAGCCGCCGCGACCGAGCGACAGCGCCACACAACCTAGCCCGCGAGGGCACAGAGCCGACGGGCGGGCGGCACAGCCAATGAGAGGAGGTGGCGGCCAGCGCGCCCGCTGCGAAGGCGGGACTAGCGGCCGGGGTAGGCGGGGTGGGGCGGGGCGGGGCGGGCGCGCCCTCAGGTTTGGTTGAGCCAACGTGGGAAGGGGGACGCTCAGCCCAGAGCCAGGCAGGGCCGCCCGGGATTGTGGGAATGTGGCGGACTCGGCGGGCTGGCTGTGTTGCGCTGGCTCAGCTCGGCCCGGGTCGGCTCCGCTCCGCTGGTGAGCTGGAGGCACGGACCCCGCCAATGCGGTCACGGGGCTGGGAGACCCCAGCCCCACGCGAGACATTGAGGTACCAGCCTTCGCGGTCTTCCGGGAAGAGCCCTGGCATTACCTAACGGGAAAGAACCTTTCACTCATCCATTCTTGGAACAAGCATTAGTGGAATGCCTCTTGTCTACTGGGCCTGCGGGGCCCCCGTTGACCCAGAGCTTGCTATGTGCCACTTAAGCAGTAAGCTTTAATGGAGTGCTTACTGTATAGCAGACATGGACCAAGCACTAATGCAGTACCTGCTATGTACCAGGCACACACCAGGCATTAATATAGCACCTGCTATATACCGCGTATGGGCCAGACATGAGTGCAGCACCTGCTATCTAACTAGGCGTGAACAGGCATTAATGTAATGCCTGTTGTATAACAGAGAGGGCAAAAGCATTAACCCAATTCCTGCTATATATCAGGCAGGGCAAGAACATTATGGAGTGCCTACTGTAAACCAGGAATTAATGCAGTGCCTGCTATATTCCAGACAGCAAGAAAGCATTAATGATGTGCCTACTGTATACCAACCACTGCTTTAAGCCCCTTAAACCAACCCTACTACCCAGTTGATATTATTCTTGGGATGCACCCACATCCCTTCATTTACACATAGAGCTCTGCTAGAGCCCTGCTCTAGCAGACTTGAGTAATTGCAACAGTCCTAAGATATTTACCATCTGACCTCTTACAGAAAGAGACCTAGAACAAGGCCCAAACACACAGAAGTTGCTCAATCAATGCCCTCTGAGTGATGGAAAAAAGAATAAAAGCCTGAAGTGTTCCTGGTACCAGAAACCCATTTTACAGACAAGGAAACAGGTGCCTGACTATGGCACCTCTCCCAGCCCTGGCCTACCTGCATCCCCCACCTCCTCTCCCCATCTGGCCCTGCCCAGATCCCATCATACACCTTTCAAGCTGCACCCTGACACACTGTACTCTTGTGTCTTGAGATAAGGGGTGAGAGGAGGGTCAAAGTCTCCATTTATTGGTTGATTGAGAGGATGGGAAGATTAGCTCCTTGAAACTCTCATCTTGGGGGCTTCCATCCCCACCTCAGCCAGGCTCCTTCCACAAACAGACAAAAGGTCTACTTGAACAAAGAGCCTACAACCAGGGAAATAAGCAAAATATTGTCCAGAGGAGGAGGTCAGGCAGGTCTTCTAACACGAACCCCACCCCAGTCACCACCTTGTGGGATTCCACTCCCCAGCCCTTCAAGGCCCCAAATAATCCTTTTTACTTTTTATTCGTTTACCTACACCCCTCCCCCCCGCCTTAATATAGCGTATCTGTCTTGATCACTGTTATATCTAGAACCTGGCTGGGTACACAATAGGTGCTCAATAAATATTGAAGAAAAGAATGGTTGTTTATCATTTGCTAACATGGCTTGCTATCCATACCCACCACTAGATTGTGAGCTTCAGGTAGGCAATAATCATATGTGCTCTGGTCACCATAGGGTCCCCCACATCCAACACAGAGCCTTGGGCCTTTCCCCTCCTCCAGCAATACTTCTGTGTGTAGGATGCTAGACTGGATAGCGACAAGTGGAATCAGTCACCAATGTGTGTGAGTTCCACATGTCCAGGGAACTTTGTTCATCTTGTTCTCCGTGGCATTCCCAGGGCCTGAAACACCACCTGCCGTAGAGTAGGTGCTCAATGAAAGTTTGTGAAATCATTGAAGGAACCCAGCTCTCCTAGGTGTTTCTTCTCTTTCTCTGGAGTAAAATATAACAATAATTGCACTTTCCTCCCTTCTTCCCTTTTCTGCTCTTGCTCTTAGCTGTTGTCAGCCTCTGCCTCATACAGGCTTAGAAAGCTCAAGGTTGAATCTTGTTTTTGCTTTTTTACTCTGGTGTGGACAGTAGGCCAGTGATTTAACTTCCCTCGACCTGCTTCCCCATCTGTGATGTAGGAAAAATATTTGTCGTGTTTTTTTCTTTCTTTTCTTTTCTTTCTTTCTCTCTTTTCGCAGAAAGCTGTTATAAATAGCCAAGGAGACAATTCTTGCAAAGTGCACAGTAAGAACTTTATGTTTGCTTAAATACTTATTTAAATACTAAGGGACAGTGGTAGATAACCTCTAGGATGGCCCCCAATGAGCCCCACTGCCTGGCATTCATGGCCTTGTGTAAGTCACCTCCTGTCTAGGAGGTAGGTTGAATTTAGTGTTACATTTCTAACAAATAGGATATGGCAGATGTGACTTCAGAGATGCTGTTATGAAATGCTTTTGGCTTACATCTTGGGCTCCCTCTTGCTTCCTCTTATAGCAGTCTCCAGAAGTCTAGGCTATCCTCCTGCAGAGCCATGTGTAGTAGAACTGAGGCCTCCCACCAACAGCCATGTGAGGGAGCCATTTTGGAAGTGGCTCCTCCAGCCCTGATCAAGCCTTCAGATGAGGCAATCTGGCCAATAGCTAGACTGCAGCTTCATGAAAGACCCCAATCCAGAACCATCCAGCTAAGTCACTCCCAAATTCCTGACCCCGAGAAACGGTATAAGATAATGAATGTTTTATCGTTTTAAGGCACCGTGTTTAAGGGTGATTTGTCACACAGAAGTTGATCTCTAATACATGCACCCAAGAGAAATAAAAGCACATGTCCACACAAGACCTGTACACAAATGTTCACAGTAGCTTTATTGATAACATTTATTGGGAACAACCAAAATAAATGTCCACCCATGGGTGAGCGGAATAAACAAACTGTGGTCAACCCAGGCACTGGAATATTATTCAGCCATGAAAAGGGAAAGCCCTCCACGCCCCACAACAACATGAAGGAATCATAAATGCTTTATGCTGAGTGAAAGGAACCAGTCACAAAAGAGGATGTACTGTCTGATTCCATTCATATAAAATTCTGGAAAATGTCAACTATAGAAGCCAATTGTGGCTGAAAGTAAACTGCTGGATGTCAGGGGACATGGTGCAGGGCAGGGAGAGCTGAAGGGAACTTTTGGGGATGATGGAAATGTTAGTTCACTATTGCGATTATGGCCCTGGTTGCACGGGGGTAAACATATGACAAAAACTCACCAAATTGTACATTTTAAACGTGTGCAATTTGTTGTATCATTTAAACCTTAATAAAGCTGTAAAAATAATAAATGTTCCAAGAGGCGGTACTTGTAAAGCACATAGTAGGAGCTTAATAAATACTTAAATGTTAAAAAGGACACAAACAGGGGCAGGCAGTGTTGGGACTGCAGTTAAGGGCAGGAAAACAAATCAGATAGCAGAAGAGTTGGTGGGTTCATTTGTTCCCCCCGAGTATTTATTTATTAAATGGCATCTGTGACACCCCCTCCCGGCAGCAGCTCTGCCCTGGGCATTGAGGCGAGGAAGTGAGGGGAGTAGCAGGGAACTGATCAGCATGGGGTATCTTCCATTCTCATCCATTCACTAAGTGCCAACTATGAGCCAGCCACTGGGAAGGCCCCCAGTGAATAAGACGGGGAACTGGGGCCCACAGAGAGATGGTGAACTGGCCCCGGGGCCCAGCCAGTGCTAAATGCTGACTCTGCCTTCCCCACACCCACAGGCCCAGACGACAAAGTCCACCACCACTGCCACACCTTGATGTCTGGGGGGCCTGCCTTCCTGGCGCCTCAGGCCTCCTCGCCTCTTCCCCAAGGACATTGGACTCCATGCCTTGAGGAGTTCGATTTTATGAGGGGGTCCAGGAGCCAGGGAACAATGCAGTTTTCCTGGCACAGGGCTGAGAGCAAAGGTGAGTGGGGCCCACGGCTGGAGGCATGCAGGGCAGAGGGGCACCTGGGGTCAAAATGCCAACCCTGGAGTCAGGCGGCAGATTCCACAGCACTCAAATCCCTGTCCTTCTCCAGGCCTCATGGCTGAAAGCAGAGCACTCCCTGCCTTCCCCTGTAAAGAAAACTGGCGATATCTCATGGACACAGTATTAGAGGAACTGAAAAGGTGGCTCACACCCTGATCCTGCCTTATGCCCCCAGCACTGCCCCCAACCTGCAATCAGAGAAGATATTCGTTTCCTCTTATTTTTAGTTTCTCAAAGATGGTGTGATCCAAGAAGACTTAGGGGCTCTGGGTCATGGTTTTGTTCTCAATGCTCAACCCTGGGCATGGACTACAGTAGGTGCTTGTGAATGTTTTCTGCACAGCTCCATAAATATTAGCTTTTACTCTTTACTAAAATATGATGTACAGATGGTCAAGAAGCACTTAGGAAAAAGCGATTTAAAAATACAGTAAGATATGGTTAGACCAGAATGATTAACATAAAAAAGCCTGACCATTCTAGTGCTGGTGAAAATAGGGGCCACTGGAACCCTTACCCCAGCTGGTGGGAATGCGAAATGGTGCAGTCAGTGTGTAAAACCATGTGGCAGGTTTTCAAAAGGTTAAGCATATACCTGCTGTTGGATCTAGCCATTTCCTTCCTAGGTATTTACCCAACGGAAATGAAAATATACATCCATACAAAGATTTCCACCCAGATGCTCAGGGTGGTCTCATTTTGAGCAGCTAGTAGACTGTCTGGTTCTTATCCCACACAGACTTGCTCCCTACCCCCTAAGCTGTGTGACTTTCAGGAAGTGGCTGTCCCTTTCTGAGCAAGGCATCAGTATATCTGTAAGAAGAGC